TGGGGTGCTGGGCTTGGGTCTGCCCCAAGGGGAACTCCTTATGCAGGCTCTTTGACATTTCTTGCTTTGCCATGCAGGATCCCCTTTAGGCCTCCCCTCTGCCATAACTCCTGGCACACAAGCAGGACAGGGAGCACATTTCCTCTCTTGCCTCCTCCACACAAGAGCCAGCCCAGCACAGCAGGGTCAGGCCTGCTGGGGAGCAGCCAGCTGAAGGTGCACAGTCCCTGAAGGCCAGAGCTGACCAGCAGCTTCCTCTGCTGGGTGTCCACTCCTGGGGTCAGCCTGCACTGAGCAGCAGCCCCTGCTGGGTCTGGACACAGTCCCCTCTCCTTGGCTGTAGGAAGAAGGCAGGATTGCATTCATCGTGGACTGATGCCCATGGGAACAGGGCAGGAGGAGAACAAGGCTGAGTCATCCTGGGAGTTTGGGATGAATCAGGATCTGCAAGACTCTGTCTCCATATCCCTCTGAGCCCTGAGACCCCAGGTGCTGATACTCCTCCCTCCCTGCAAGACTTGACGAGGCCATGTTGGAAGATAATGCGTCTCCTCTTCGGAAGCTCTGGGGAGCTGACTAATGTGAAAGGTGGAGCCTGTATTGTAATCCTCCAGAAGGCAGCAGGAGAGCAGGGCTAGAACAACCTCCTACAGCAATGAGAGCCATTGTCTCCAGATATCTGAAGCAGAAGCATAAAATGCCTGATGGAGGAAACCTCATCCTGAGGACAACGGGGAGACCAGCAGTTATACACAGAGGGTTTTTGAAATGAGTATGAATACCGAAGCCTGCATCCCCACTTGGCTGAGAGGGAATATTGTTTGGAAGACAGATGGTCAGGCAGTTGGTACCATCCCTCCCTCCTCTGGTCTCTGGTCTGAACACTTCTAACTCATCCTCTCTTCATGTGAAGGATGACCATCCCAAAGATGCTTCAGGTGCCTTGTTAAGGCCTAGGAACCTTCTCTCAGTTACTCCTGCCTGGCAAAGATTGGCTTTACAATGAGATTGGCTATTTCCTGTCAGTTACTAGGACACCTGGTCAGGGATATGGCCAGCTGCCTGAGGAACAATCAGCGTTGTCCCCATGCCTTTGGGGACTCTCCAGAAAAAAGGCCATATTCCCTCTCTGTCTTGGGCACTCTGTGTCCTGCTATTGCTGCCCCCGTGAAACTAGAGGTGCTGCACAATGGGCTGGAGAGGCTCTCTCAGTTGTTGATTCCACATATTGCCTGAAGATGTCTTTGAATACAAGGACGCAGGCTCCCACAGGGTGGGGATCAGTGCAGAACACATCATCAAAGTGGGAGTCTTCCCAAGGGAGTCTTGCAAACAGATACTCTAATTGGCCAGTGTTTGACCTCCTGAACCCTCTGGTTGTGATCCTGGCTTTTGCTTTTTGCCTTCTCACGTGATCCTGGCATCCCAAGATCTCAGAATTACTGCAGATAAGCTGGCACCCAACCTCTACTTTGCCAACATTTCTGCCACATTGGGAAGTGTGAGATCCAGCAGAGCCCATCTCATCCTTTGGTCCTCCGTAACCTCTCTCATAAAGCTCCATGATAATGATCCCGCAGTGTCCTCCTGGATTTATTTCATTTTTCCTGCTGCAAACAAAGTTCAGAAACTGCAGCACAAGCCGCAGAGCCTGACAGCTGCCTCTGTGAGCTGCCCTCACACACTGCTGGGGCTCGGGGCTCTGGGGCTGGTTTCAGGCTGTGAGAGGGCAAAACAAC